AGTATTTTTCCTCTTTTAGGGAGATATCAAAATGTGGCCAAGTGAATCAGAGTCCTAGGCTACTGTTTAGAAATGTTTTGATTGCTACTCTACATATGGACATGACAAACCGGAATAAGTAAATTCACAACATCCCAATGTGAGTCCTCTTTAAGAGGAGTTAATTAGTTAAATAAATGAGACATTCTCACATTTAAAAATAACCTCCAAGCTAATTTTCAGATTGTTACCAAGAATACATCTGCAAATATCACTTCTGATTGACTAAAAATATGCTCAGGAAATTCCATTTTCGCATGACTTTTAAAGAATAATTTTAAAGAATAGTTTCTATTGGTCATATTCCCACTGTTATATAAACTTGTTAGTAAAGCACAGGATCACAAAATATAGATTTCATACTGTAGAAGGAAAATGTTGTGTATTCTGACCAATAGTAAATAACTAAATGATTAAATTATTGAAGATTTAGATATTTTATGATGCCATAACCCATAAATACCCTCAACTGACACCCAAATTTACATGCTGTATTTGCTTACAATCTGTTTTGGAATCTCAAAAATGTACTGTAACTAGTAAGACATTAAACTTATTCCCCACAAAACACAGAAACTTTCGCATAGAAATTCACTTATAGGTTATTTAAAATGGTCTCCCCAGAGTCTTAGAAAAACAGCAGAGCACATGGGTTATTCAGATTCATGAAAATACTTGAAGCCTTGGAAAACTCTTTTCTTCCACCTCCTTCTGTAAAACCATCAACATTCTGATAGTTAATATTTGAAAGGTATTTGTTTTTTTTAATCTTTCATCGAGATGATGAAGTTGTGAGAAGAATCTCTGGCAGTAGATTCTGGAACTATAGTGTAGCATAAGAAAATTCAACTTCTGCTAAGTAATGAGACTAATGGGTTGTTTCTGACTTAGGACAGAAAAGTGAAAATATCCCCTATTTTCTTAAACTAAACCTGCATGTGGAATTTTATATATTTACATTTATGTTTGACATGTACAACTTGAATTTAGTTAGCAAAAACAGAAAGTAGTCCTCCAGAGCATTTAAGAGTTCAGTGAATATTTATTTCTCTTCCATCTAAATCAAGCAAAATACAATTTGTACAGTATAGTACAGACAAATTCTGTAGTACAGAATCACAGAGCCATAGTTGCTCAAAGAAACACTTTGTCCATGTGGCCCTGCAGCTTATCAACATGTGATGTTATAATAAGTATCATCTGTTACAACCAGTGAAAATAATACCACAGCCAATATGTGCAAAAATATATCAATGTAAAGTAAGCACAAACAGAAAACATTCAACTTATAATAAAAGCCAAAATCCATAGATATCCTCAAAATAAAATAATAAAACATACCCAATTAAATAAGCCTGAATCAAATGCAGCAATTGTTTGCTTGGAAAACAAGCATGTCATTTAGAAGTTAACCCAATGTGATATTCTGCTATGAGGCAAAACAACATGGACTAGTTACTATCCTAAGAGAAGCATTCTACCTAGGACACAATTATCTGTAAGCTAATACTTGGCTTAGCATATTTGACAGGCTAAAGATGTCACAAGGAAATATTTGTTTTCAAGGACAACACTTGCCGTGTTTGTTTCATGCTTAACAATAACACTTATGATGATTTATTTTATGGTACAAATCTTACAAATGTTCATGATCACTATGAAGATTTACAAAACCCACTGCCTTAGAGTGACTGTTAAATATTTAGTAATAATAGTCTAACAATTTAACTAATTTTGCAAACTAAACAAAACAAAAAAACTATACGCATCCCTATACATCTATATGGGATGCCACTTACAAAACAAAGACTTTCTCTTCCCTCACTTAGTAAATTTATGAGTGTTTCAATTTTTCATCCCTGTTTTACCAAGTTGAGAAGTTCACTGAAATATTCAGCAATTAACTTAAAAGGAAGAGATGGTGATGTAAAGCATTTGATATGGTAAAAACCTCCTGAGCCATGAAGTAAGTGCTCTTGAAACTCTTATTACTAATAATCTCAACTCTCTTACTCAATGAATGAGACAGTGTTGAAAAAAGAGGTGAGCCTGTGGTTCTCATTCTGCTCATAGGTCCTCTTCTTGAGCAGAGGAGATTCTGGGAGATGTAGTGAGCTGAGTTGATGTAGAGAAGCCAGCTGTATATTTTACAGAAGAGGATAAGAGTTCTCTTCCTCACTGAAGAACTCTTTAATGCCTCCAATTCTTGTACATGGCTAACATGTAACTTCCTGAGCCAAAGCCAGAGGAATCCCTGATTCAATTGTATACAGTTTTCTTCATTTCTCTCTCAGGAGCTTCTGAATTTGAATTCTAACCCCAGCCAGAACTAAAAGCCTAAGAATGCTCAGGGGTTTCAAATCCTCACAAATGGTAGAGCAATACTGACTGTTTGGTTTGTATTTTGAAAGGGCAATTATTTTTTTTTCCTAGAAGAATATAGTATGCCTGTGTGTACATATTTATGTGTACATGTGTTTGTGTGTCAGAAGAGAACGTGGGAGAGCATGTGTGAAAATGAGAGATGTAGAAGACACAATTCATCCTTGGAAAAACAGATAGCAAGATATAAGATACTGAATATAAACACATAATTTAGTGTTCCCTCTCAATTTGGGGCCTGTTTCTCAGAATTTTCTTTTGTTCTTGCCTTCTTCTTTCTTTCTCTTCCTTCTTTCCCTTTCATATTTTTCCTTCCTTCCTTCCTCCCTCTTCATTCCTTCTTTTCTGTCTCTCTGTATCTTCCTGTCTCTTTTTATCTCTCTCATTATTTTCTGGCAAACTAGCATAAACTTAGGGCCATATGCTTGCTTAATAGGCTTTATACCACTTGCGCCATGCCCTAGCATTTTTGTATTTCATAAAAATCACATGCCATATTTGAGTGAAATTAGTTTTCCCACATCCCTTTTTAGTATTTAAATAAAATGCTAATTGTCTGGTTAATACTAATCTTAATTTAATCAAACAGTTTTGCTTGTGTATTTAACTTGTAAGCTTTATATCACATTAAAATGTTTTTATCATCCCTATCACTTTGGCATCAAGCATGTATTGACACTCAACATTGTCATCATCACGAACTGCTTATATGTGTGTTGATTAAAATGCTAACACTAATGTTATGTCTGTCTTGCTTCTGTCTTTTAAAATTGAACAAAGGAGAAATGTCTGCATTTTCTTCGCATGCATTAATGGAAGAATATTTTTCCAAAAATTGCATTATTTCTTTGTTTGCTCAATGAGTATTTCAACATAAATTTTATTAAGGAACTATGATGTGTGTTTATGGTTTCATTTCTCCATATAGGGCAAAATTAAAAACAAAAAACTAACATGTGTTTTGATTACTACAATGGGAAGTATTGACTTCCAGTGGACTTAGGGAAAATAGCAAGTGGATTTTTTAGAGCTTTCAGAGCTCTAAAAAATACTAGAGCTTTCAGAAGTTGGGGCATATCTGAACAAGCTTTTTATACTTACTTGAAATGTTTATCTTCATTAATATTAGGATAAAATTGTAAATCATTACAAGTTTTCAACATCTTATCTTAATTATATAGCTTACAAGGTAACTTTGAAAACTGAAATAAATATCTAAATTTACCATCTAAATAAATACTTATAACTTGTTTGTATGTGTGGTCCTGCTGCTTTTAATTTTATTTAAACAAAATGTCTCAGAAATCTGTGCTTTAGAAATGCAACTGCTAATTCTTTAAAATATGAAGAATACTTCAAGAAATGAACATTCTCAAAAATACCAAATTTGGATACTATTTTTAAGGAAAAAAGGTAAATATAATGCTTTGAAAATCTCAGTAGTAAAATGAACTCATGAAACAATTTTCCTGTTTGCTGAAATAGAACTGAAAAAAATAGTATCTGAGATAAAAATGCTTAATATTTTTGCTATAAATAAAACATGCTTCCAAAATACCTTTTAGATCTCAGGTACAATTCTTTCAAAAGAATAAACTTTTAAGTGTTACTAGCATTTCAAGTCTGCAATATCTCTATATTTGACGTGTGAAGTCATACATATTACCATATTATCTTGATCACCAATCATGATACAAGTATAAATACTTTAAAGTTTTGTTTGATTTTTCTGAAAATGAACTAGATAGATCTTATAATCTGTTTTCAAATCTTTCCCAGACAGCTCACTAGAGGAGAAAAAGAAACATAAGACAACATATGACCACAAGAGGGCAGAATACATCTTTAATTCTAATTTTAACTGTAACTCAAGTTTTGACATTCATTGATATCTTTCTGAGAAAGTTATCTTGACTTCCACCCTTCCACATTGGAGTGAAATGTAAAGGACATGTTAACATTATATACCAGAAATATCACCAATATGGTTTGGTAAATGTTTTGTGAAGAGCACAGGCCTCAAAGTGACCATATTTTCCTTTCATGATTTATAGCAACCACAAACACACACCTGCTACTCAAATCTCGTGGCTTAGACATTGATACAATAATTAACAGGTACAGAAAACTTACAGGAAAATGTGAATATATCTGATATTCTGCATATTTTACACCATGATGGAATGAAAAATTCAAAGATTAAAAACACTTAGTTTTTAATTTGATTCTGAAATTCTCTTTTTTTTCTTGAATGTTCTAATTTTCCCCCCAAAGCTAATGTAATAATTTCCTTGGAAATACACCTCAAACACAAAACTACAGCTATGCCGTTTTTTAATGATAAATATAATATGAAGCTATTCAACAATGACTTGTTTAAAAATTAGTTAATATTAAGAGAGCTTTATCCAGTCAGATGAGTATGTAGAATAACTTATTGTAACACCGTTAGTCATTTCTGTGCAAGAGCAATGGAAAGAAGTTGGATGCTTTGTCATTATTTTCCTGTTGTTGCTGTTGTTTCGATTTCCATTGTAAAACTTTTTCCAAAGCCAATGGGTGGTTTAATAGGTGGTTTCAACCCATCAGGAGTCCAGCACGTGCCTGGGCAGACGATAGTGCTCAGGTTTGGAGCGCAGCTTCTTCTCCTGTGGGTTGGCATACTTCCACTTCGAAGGTGACATTTTGAGCTTTTTCCTCTTCTTATCTGTGCACCACACTTTTTCACAATACTCCTCCACTCTCTGGAAGTTGCTGTACCCGATCAGCTGCAGGAATTCCTTGTACCATGGTTTTGTTCCTTGAGGGATACTACTGCGGGCCGGACACGGCATCCGGTGCGGCCCTTCCTCCTCATAGTCTTTACTAAACATCTCCTCCACTCTCTCTTCTTCCACGATCTCCAGGGTGATTTTACGGATCGTATGGACAAAGCTATGCTCTACTGTCTGGCAAAAATAGGTCCCAGCATCGGCTTTGCGTATCCTGAGGAAGAGCAAGCCCAGGTCCATTTTAACCACTCTGTCATCTGTCTTAACCTGTAAGGAAAAAAAAGAGGAAATGGCACTGGAGTATTACCCAAAGGAAATGACAGTAGGTAATAAAACAGCAATCTATAGCCCTGCCCCTACCTATTTGGATTTTTTTCCTTTGGATTATCATATCATGAAAGCCATCCCTTCAAATATGCAAAGTAACTAAATCAGTTTGTGAAAGTCAGGAACTTATTTCCATTATTTACACTGGATTCTATTTAACATGGCCTTGAGGTCATCTCATAGGTCATCTTAAAGGGCAAGATGAGCTAATTTTCTCCCTAAAGAATTCCGTATAATCACTCAGAAGAGGATATGAAGGTTTGTCGCATTTGTGATTTTTTTAACTCTTGGTTCTGGAAGTATAGAGCAAATATTTTCCACATCTGTTTTAGGCCTTCTGAATTGTAATGACCAGTTCTGGGTGTCTTTCAATGTTTCTGTTTACCAAAATACAACATATCAATTACTTCATTCTATAGCATTCTCAAATTACCCCATCCTCAACTGTCAATTATTTATATTTCTCATATTTAACACATCACAAATTTTTATCAAGGTTTCTTCAATGCTAACCCAGAAAAGTATCCGTCTTCATCATCATTTTTACCACACGGCTGGATTCATGACTGTTTCTTTGGCCTTGTCTCATAAAAGACTCATTCAGATCTTCCTTCTCTCTGTTCTTTCTGTCATGCCCAGCTTGATTATTTTTAGGACCTCTGCTCTTATCTCTTCCTAGAGGGACTTTCTCCAGCTGGCTACTTCTCATCCTGAACAAATCAAGTGTCAGCTTGTTAAACAGGCTCCTTTATAATGTCCTTCTTACCATCATTTCACATGTTAACCTTTAGGTCTGGGCTTACTGCATTAATGCATATATCTAGTCATATCCTTTCAATTAATTTTCATGGCTACTTTTCTCTCTTATTTCAATGGATAGAGGCTAGTTAAGTCTTCTTTAAGACTCAATTTCTTTTCTCTTTTTCTTGTTCATATCTTTATGACATATTATTATGACATTTGCTCAGTTAACCAGACTTTGCCTTACCAAGTCTATCTCCTCAAACAGTCCGATGTAGCATTTCTGGAGATTAATGATCATTCTATAGTAATCTCTTAATATGTTTATTATCACAAAAATTCACATAAATTAAAAATTGTATTTGGTGTCACATGTAGATCAGCGTCAGTGTTAGTATTTGATTTTATTATAAATTCGACACCATTTCCAAAGTCTTATTTTTCCCAGGTGCTAAAAAGAAAGATAGCTTTAGGGCTGGGAAGGTGGCTCAGTGGTAGAGTGCTTGCCTTGCATGCATGAGTCCCTGAGTTCGATTCCTCAGCACCACATAAGCAAAAAGAAAAAAGCCAGAAGTGGCACTGTGGCTCAAGTGGTAGAGTGCTAGCCTTGAGCTGAAGAGCTGAGGGACAGCACCCAGGCCCAGAGTTCAGGCCCCACAACTGGACACCCCCCCTAAACAAAAAGATAGCTTTAATATGTTAATAATACATTCCATTCAAGTGGAAACCAAACAATATCTTTGTAGTCATAGACATAAAAATCTTTAACATCACTTGAAAGAAGTATTGGGATTTTTTTGTTGTTGTTGGTTGTAGGCCTAGCTGCTGTCCCTGAACTCTTTAGCTCAAAGCAAGCATTCTACCAAAGCACTGCTTCCAGTTTCCTGGTCGTTAATTGGTTATATAAGTCTCAGGGACTTTCCTGTCCAGGCTGGCTTTGAACTATGATCTTTAGATCTCAGCCTTTACAGTAGCTAGGATAACAGTCACCCGGCTAAGTATTAGGAATGAGTCATATGTTATAGAAGGAAAGCTTCACACACATACACACATGAACACATCACACACACACACACACACACACACACACACACACACACAACCATATAAGCTTCATGTGGATAATTATTTCAGTAAAAAAGCTATATTAAAGAATCATTTTGATTAATTGGCTTATATTTTATTTGTGCATTTATTTTGAGGTCGCATTTGAATAAATCTATAAGCATACCAAACCATGCACTGCTTCATGTGAAATAAGGCATTTTCATATTCATCTTCTTTGTGTGGACGTGCGTGTGTGTGTGTTTTATGTGTGTGTATGTGTCATAGTGTATGCCTCATATTGAAGAGTTATGAGGCAGTGACTGTTTGTTGCTTGTTTATCTCAGCTAGCAGAGCAACACGTGGTGGGTAATCCAAACAACTGGTTGTTTGCCTTTATAAGCCCTGCAAATCTTTAGCTTGGGGCTCTCCTCCTAGGCTCCCCTGTGTCAGAGTGTAGGACGAGGCCCAAGCTGCAGACTGGCTAAATAAAACCTTAAAACAGCTGTAAAGTCTGACTCTCGGTGGTCTTCTTGGTGGGGGTGCTGTGACCTGGGCACAACAGTATTAGTGTCCCAAGAAGACAATGCACTTTTAAAGTCAAGGAGAAGGCACCTTATGTGTTATTAGATCATATCTTCTTTAACATTCCTGCTGCCACTCTAGTTTCTTCTTCGAGTTATATTTTGGTCTTGTTCTTTCTTCTCTTTCCTTATCAAATTCTGTGTTACTGCCTACCAATTCACTGTTAATTTTCTTTTTGTCTTAGGCTTACACTTCCATTTTCTTTATAATTATTTCCTTTACAACTCATAAAGACCTTTAGCTTCACTCATGTTTGTATCACTTCTGTTTGTAACAGAATTTTGTATTTATATTATTTAAAATGTTTATCTATGAAATAATTTCATTGCCTTCATCATGCTATCAGTTACTTAAGGGCAAATGTCCACCTCTCTATTTTCCTGAGTTGTTCTGGGCACACAGTGAAAAATGAGAACATATTAGTTGGATCCTAGGGTGCAATGATACACAGCAGTGGCATGTAGGAACAATCTTTAATGGATGCGAGAGGGCTGCAGCACAGAGCTCAGGAGGCAGCTTGAGGGAGACATTGACTTCTCACAATAATCCACCTAGGGCCACCTCATACATCTCCTATTCAAATGCTATAATAATGTATTAACCAGTATGAAAGGCATCATCTAGTTTATGGAATCTATCAAGCAGTTTATTAAAGCAACAACAACAAACCTTAAAACTAAGCCTTTGGCCACTGAAATTAGAAATAGAATTGTAATCTGGTATAAAAATATACAATTTTCTTCAATAATCATAAAAGCTCTCAAGTTTGAGCTTTTATGTTATGTACACAGATTCAAGACAGGTACATATTCCAAGACATAATTATGATAATTACCACAGGAATTTTCCTACATCAGTTATTTTCATGTTAAGATATTTAAAGTATTTTAATATCTAGAAGATGCAAAGAACCTAAAGTCAATATGAAGAAGTATGCCTGAGAAAAGCACATAAATAGGCAGCTTAGAGGAGAAACCTAACTGCTTAATATATAACTGAGTTTACATTAATCTTACTGGGAGTAATCTTAGAAGTGGAAAATTTACAAAAGATACCATGTTACACTAGAAGAAAGACGAATGATAGAGAAGTAGACCATAGCACATTGTGATGGAGGCCTGCACAAACAATGGCCCTACACAGACTGTCCTGGAAGTGCAGATGCTACAGAGGTTCTGAGTGAAAGTTGGCAAGGACTCCTGAAATGAAGCATGTGCATAGGCAACAAAGCAACAGCTTGCTTCTGCATCTACATCCAGACCATACAGACATGAGCAATAATGATGTGGGAGAAGTGCTGACCCTGATTTCTCACTGCTTGGAGAGTCATGGAGGACTATGGAGTGCTGTGTATGCTATAGAATGGTTACTGGAAGGTAGAGCCAAATAAAGTACACAGTATTTGGGGGGAAGGGACTTTAAATCATAATGTTCATTTTTAAAAGCAAGAATAATAAGATAGATAAAATAATTGATTCAGCTTTACAGCTCAAACATACTCAAAATATTGTATATCTGTTCAATATACAAGTACAGTTCTGGACTTATTTCAAGCATTATGATGAATGTTTGGGGAATGTATGTAGTTAGGAAAGGGGAGAAAAGTCATCCAGGAAAAATAAAGTCAAGAAAGATTTCTGTGGATCAATCATAATAATGTGTCACAAATTAAGAGGTTTAATTTAGAAAATTCACGTAAAGTTTAAAACAAGCCAAAAATGAAAGAAAAAGAAAGGAAGAAAGAAAGAAAGAAAGAGAGAGAGAGAGAAAGGGAGGGAGGGAGGGAGGAAGAAAGAAAGAAAGAAAGAAAAAAAGAAAGAAAGAAAGAAAGAAAGAAAGAAAGAAAGAAAGAAAGAAAGGAAGGAAGGAAGGAAGGAAAGAAGGAAGGAAGGAAGGAAGGAAAGTAAAAGACTTTCTAATTACTGTTTCAGTTATTTTTGGCAATATATAAACTAAATGTTGCTTAGATACTTTCAAATTCTAATATACTTCAATTAAATGGTCATAGTATATTTACAACATTGAAATAATTTTAAGGGGAATATGTATTTAAAATTTCCATCTATTAGAATGTCATAATGAAGGGAAATTATGAGAAAGGATGAGTAAAGCTAATGCAAAAATTCACAGCATAAAGCATTGTACAATTACTAAAGTTTAAGGACAACTCCAACATGAAATTTCTCAATGAACAGAGAAAAGTATAATAAATTTTAAGATTCAAAATGCTTCCTTGTACTGAAGCCCAAGAAAAATCTTTCATGTTTTCATGAAATGAGATAGTTGCCAAATAGCAGCAATATAGTTAAATGTATTTCTTTAAGTCAATATCTAAGCTAAAGTGAAGGCAAGATGTCCAAGGGCTATCCCATCTAAGGTACATTATATGATTAAAACAATGTAGTTCAGACAAACGTATTTATGAGGTATATCTTCACACAAAAAATGTGCACTTGCTATTTTTTTTCTTTCTTTCTTTTTTGTCAGTCATGGGGCCTGAACTCTGGGCCTGGGCGCTGTCCCTCAGCTCTTCAGCTCAAGGCTAGCACTCTACCACTTGAGCCACAGTG